CCTGGTTCACCCACCAGGTCCTCTGGCTCTCCTCCTCATTCTCTCATGCTCCCCCAACCCCACCTCTCCTCACTCTCTTACCCTTTGTTTATTTTTTATTTGTTTTGTTTTTGAGAGAGGGCCTCATTATGTACCCCAGGCTGGCCTGGAGTTCACAACCCCCAGTTGTCCTTAATCATAATCCATCTGCCTCAGTCTCCATATGTGGGGATTATAGGAGTACGCCACTAACCTCTACTCCTAGAGAGTTTCATGAAACTCCCCTAAGTCTCTATCTACCAAGCCTCCCCCAGGCTCTAAACCTTGATGAAAAAAACATTGCTCTCTTCCACAGTTGAATTCAAAAGCTTCTGATCTGAATTTACTTCTCTGTCTCCTCATACTCTGTCTCCTCACACTCTGTCTCTGTCTCCTCACTCTGTCTCCTCACTCGATGTCTCCTCACACTCTGTCTCTGTCTCCTCCTCACACTGTCTCCTCATGCTCTGTCTCCCACTCCTACACAAGCCTGACTTCCCTCCAAGTTTCTGGAGACTCATCTACGAATGTGAGTTCACAGGCTCGCAGGAATTCCTTGGCATTTCACACGTACCTCACCTCCCACCTAATGGTTGTAAGTATTGTCCAGTTGGTTTCTTCTGTGTTCCCCAAGGCCAAGCCTGGCATCTTCATTTGTCAGGAACTCTCCGGTCCTCCAACAGCCTCGCTAATCCCCTGGTTCTTTCTTTCTTTCTTTCTTTCTTTCTTTCTTTCTTTCTTTCTTTCTTTCTTTCTTTCTTTTTTTTTTTTTGGTTTTTCGAGACAGAGTTTCTCTGTGTAGCTTTGGTGCCTGTCCTGGAACTCACTTGGTAGCCCAGGCTGGCCTCAAACTCACAGAGATCCACGTGCCTCTGCCTCCTGAGTGCTGGGATTAAAGGCATGCGCCACCGCCGCTCGGCTTCCCCTGGTTATTTCTATTCCCCTCAGGTCTCCAGTACAACCCACATCAGCACCATACTACAGTCGCCAGTTAAAGTGTGGGGCGTCCTTGTTTGCCGGCGTCTGCCCAGTCTAACACGCTAACCGCCTCTTTGGTTATACAGTTCTCCAGTTTAAACTCTCTCCCTTCCTATACTTGATTAGGTTTTTATTTTTATTTCAGCCATCACTGAATTGATCCTATAATCCTTAGCCTCGTCACTCAACTGTCATCTGTCAGCTGCATTGTGCAAGAGCCTTCCAATGGGGCTGTGGAGTGTGTGTCCTGAGAAAGCTCACAGACCAAAAATGACCCATGACGTGAAGACACACAGCAAGTATTGCATAACCATCAAAGAGGTTCCCAGGTGTGTGAACTTAGACAGGAATTTGTCCTGAGGCCTGGGAAAACTTTTTTTTTTTAAAGCCATCTATATCCTAGTCCCCAAAAGCAGTCACTAAAATGAGTCAACTCCTGCGCCTCCACCCTGGCCGGCACCGAAGTTCACCGCTGGGAACAGGAATGTAGGGCTAGCGTGCCTTTCACAGAACCACCAGCAACTTCAGAGTGAGGGGCACATCCCCAAGGTTCCTCAGAAGATAACTCATCTCCACACAGGCGCCTGGGCCTTCAACAGATAAGCAAGTTTATTCAAAAAAGGCAAAATGTCAATGATAAGTAAAAAATATAAGATATAATTTAGAAATAGTCCCATGGATCAAACCAGGCATTAAACACGGTAATGGAGCACTCCGCCATGACTACAGCCCAACCCCTGTGGAATTATAGAAGAATAATGAGGATGAGATGACGCAGCTTTCAAAAGAGACATCTTGTTCTTCCTGTGGACCCGAGTTCAGTTCCCAGCACCTCCTTTGGACCACTCACAACAGCCTGTGACTCCAGCTTCAGGGGATCTGAATCCCTCTCCTGGTCCCCACAGACATTGTCACACACTCACACAGACAGCATGCACACCTATCCAAATAAAAACAAATCTTTAAAAAAAAAAATGACCCTCGGATGTAGAAATGTTTCTAACTCCTTTCTGTCCTGTGCACGCTGCAATCGATGTTATAAACTAACACAGACCCCTATGAGTATTTTGAAGCTTTAATTTAAAAAACAATTCTGTGGCATTTCCAGGAAAACAAAAGAAAACTAAGAGTTGCATGACTGAGGGAGGAGCAGGAGGAAGAAGGCTCCCCGTCTGGTCTTCTGAATTCTGTAATCTGCACATAACAGTCTAGCCCTTGGGAGGCTGTGGCAAGAGAGCTGAGAGTTTGAGGCCAGCGTAGGCTGCATAGTGAAACTGTGTCTCAAAGCAACAACAAAAAGAAATGAGATGAATGATGGACCGGAGCTACAGCTCACTGGTAGAGCACTCACGTAGCGTGTCAAGAATGCCTGAGGCACTTGGTTCAACCACCAGCACCACAAAAGAAAAGACAATTAAGCCTGGCCGGGCAAGAGTAACGCCATTTGTTCTATCCAGAGCATGGCAAGACTACAGCAAAAATTCAAGTGTACTAAGGAATCTCAAGTCATTGTAGACATGTAATGGAATCCAGCCCCCAAGTGCTCAAATACCACTTTCTTGCTGAACAGTGCCCCGCACCCCAAACACAACTCGCCTTAGACCAAGATGGCTGCATGCAGCGCAAGAACATCACGTGGTAGTTCCTCTTATTCACACGACTACCACGGCTTTCTACTGAATCAAAACTCTGCTCATCTCAGGATCCAGCAGTTAGACCTCTGGTTTTAGACCAGAAGCCACAGGAGTTGACAGGGATGAGCGGCTGAGCAGAAAGGAGGGGGGCTGGTGTGGGGACAGGGGCACAGGGCACTCGGGCTCTTCATCCCTCCTGCTCTCTGGCTCCTAGGTCTGGACAAAAAGGAATGAGAGAAGAAACTCAAGCACCCTGTGTGGGTGAGTCAAAGTAGTCTCTACAGTTGAAACGAAAGTCGAGCCTACCACACAGCGGGCACTGGCCATGATGCCACAGTTCCCTTCCAACAAGAGGTCTATCCACCTTTGTCCACCTGTGAAGCACACTCCACACTGTGCCTGTCACAGTCGCCAGCTGTAACTACCAATCCCATGTTCTAGGGACGGACCATTTCAGGTGAGTAGACACACGAGGATCTGGTCACCCCTATCCTGAAGAAGACCTGCCTCTCTGCACGCCCTGCCCCACGCCTCGGCATCACTCACGCCGCCTCCACATTCCTCTCTGCCCACACCCCAGGAACACAAGAGGCACATCCAGAAATCTGCTGCGAGAGAAACCCACGGCCAAGGAACACAGCGTCCACTGTTTACGTTCTGTTCAAGTGGACTGATGAGCTGGCCTCGCCCACATACTTGATTTTAAGAGAGGAAAAGACTCTACACCCACTGCCAAGGAACTGGCTTCCTCTCCCCCACCCTCCTCGGGTAGATGGCACAGCCACTCCCCTGACTGGGAGGATGGAGGAACTGGACATACTGGTGACACTCTGAAGTTAAGACTGTGGAACAATGTGTGCCCTCTCTGCCCGATTCCATCTTGGCAGTGACATGGCAGAGAAAGTTTCTGTCTGACACCTTACAACACTTGTCTCATCCTCGTGTGAAGGCCCCACACCTCAGAATATTTGGGGGGGATTGGTGTTCTCAATCCTAAGGAATTTAAACTACCCTGGAGGGTTTTGTGTTGTTTGGTTGGGTTGGGTTGGTTGATCTTAGTTTTTGTTTTTGAGGGATAAGTGAGACATGGCTTTGTTGTACAGCCTAGGCTGCCCTCAAACGCTTAATCCTCCTGTCTCAGCTTTCCAAGTATTTGGATTATAACTATACGCCACCACATCCAGATATTTAAAAAAAAAAAAAACAACTTAACACTGTTTTCTTATTTTTTTTTCTTTAAGAAAAAGTAAAAAGTTCATAGCTCCATCCCAAATTCACTTTATTAGAGTCTCTAGGACTAGGCCCAAGGAATCCACAATCCATCAGTTATGAACAGCTTGGCTAGAAGTTAGGCTCAGAGGCAGAACACTTGTCTGCTTATTTAAAGTATGCAGGCGCTGGGTTAAATGTCCAACACTGGGGAACAGGAATGGGAGCTACTTGGTGTTCAGCAAGTTTTTCATGAGAGGGAAAAAAAAAGATGCAAGTGTGCGTGCATTTGGGGAGGGGAGGTTTGAGATTTTTTTTTTTTTTTTTTTTTTTGGTTTTTCGAGACAGGGTTTCTCTGTGTAGCTGGTTTGAGATTTTTAAATGAAAGTTCATGAAATTATTTGGGTTGCTATGTAAGCCCAAAGAACAGATGGGGTACTTATCTGCCCGTTTATGTGGCTCTGACACCGAGACCGCGTCCAGCGCATAGTAGACGTTCAATAGTAAATGGATGCCTAAAACACTTCCAACTCTTGGGTAAATTAACTGCCCCACTCACCAGTATGTACCATATAGCATGCGTCATGAAAACCAGAGTCTACTATCTCAGTCTTTGTGGTTCATAGGATAAAACCTCATCGATTCAGTGGCTTAAAAACCATACAAACTTATTTTCATCATTCTAGAGGCTAAGAACGTCAAGATCAAGGTGTCAGTAGATTCAGAGTCTCACGAGAGCCTGAGCATATGGGGCAAAGCAGTTCTCTACGGCCCCTTTATTACAGAAACCAACCCTCCTCATTAACCCCCCCTCCCAGTGACCTAATTACCTCCCAAGACCATCACAGTGATGATTAAGTCAGGAGGAGAAATGACGGGCATTGTCACCATGCCATCACCGTGTATAAGCAGACCTTTGTGAACTGGGAATGATAGTTACAGCAGGTGAGAAGCAAGCCCTGCCCAGGTAAGTTTACTGTGTGTCTCCACCACAGGACATCTGGAACTGGCCAGGAGAGAAGTTGTCACAAAGTCCATAAACTGAGTGGTTACTAAGCCATCTCTCTCTTTAAAAATTGCACTTACTTATTTTCGGGTGGGGAAGTGACGGAGGACGGCTTGTGTGAGTCAGTTCTGTTTCTATCATGTGAGTTCCAGAGACTGAATTCGGGTCATCGGTCGGGGCAGCAAACCCCATTCACCCACTGAGCCACCTCACAAACCATTCATCAAGCCACCTCTAGGTGTGACACCCTCTTCCATCCTAAGGACAAGCCTGATTATGTAAGTAGGTCATTTACAGTGAAATTCCTAAAAATGTCTCTCACTGACTGCCTCTGCTCCAGGTTCATTCTGCCTATCAAACACTCGGTTAGAGCCCGTGGGGACAGCTCAGCCGGTGCAGCGCTCACCACACATGCTGGGAGGGTGGCTTTCAAGGCCACGCACGGTGGCAGGCACCTATAATCCCTGTGCTGCCAAGGAAGGGGCGGGGTGTTCCCGGGGATTCGCCGCCAACCAGCTAGCCGAGAGTCAAATCGGGGAGACCGGGGCTCAGTGGAAGATCCTGTCTCAATAAACAAAGTGAGCAGCTCCAAAGAATGACACCAAAGGTGACCTCTGGCCTCCACATGCACACTTGTACACACATATTTGCACACTGTACCCATGAACAGCACTCACAAATAAAAAATAAAAGCCTAAAGTTAAGAATCGTGCATGACTCTGAGAATTACTCAGAATCTCCTAATTGGATATAGACTTTTTTTTTTTTTTTTTTTTTTTTTGAGTTTCTCTGTGTAGCCCTGGCTGTCCTGGAACTTGCTCTGTAGACCAGGCTGGCCTCCAGTTCAGGAAGTGCCAGGATTAAAGGTGTGTGCCACCTCCACCGGACTGGTTAATTTTTAAAAATATACCTCCCTGGTACATTAAAGTTGACTAAAGGTAGTGGGGGAACTATTATGAGGAATAGTAATAGTTTTGACTTTGTTGCTGCCAATGAAGAATTCTTTTCCCGACAGGACATTGGAGATGGAAGAAACACTGGTCACCAAAGGCACGTTTCCTATCTCCCTGCTGGGAGGAAAGCAGTTGGGCAGCATTTATGTTTGAGGTAGACTGCAAAAACATTTGTTCCCCAACAGAGAGAAGCAGCGGTGGAGACTCCAGAGGGAGAGAGAGAAAATGTCCCCGTGGTGGAATGGGGACGGAATCTGGAGCCATCACAGATGACAAGCTGTGTACTCCTGGTTCCTGGCACAGAACTTCCAGGATTAGGGGAGGGTTCAGCTGCAAAGCATGAGAAGGAGGCTGCGCACCAGGCCAGGAGGGAATCCTACCAGCCAATGGGGAAGGGCAAGAGGAGCTACTTGTCTACAATCCATCCGTGGGCTTCAGCTGGAGGCTTCTGGGCAGTTACCAACGCCAAGGAAGGCGGAGCCCTCAGTAATGATTGACATTGGCTGCTTCCATGACTCCCGCTGTAGCCCCAGGGTGGACCTAGGGCTTCTCCTGTGAATCCGCAGCTAAGGAGACTCCAGGCCACCAAAAACCCAAGGAAGGAGTCAAGACTGGGGGCGATGATCATATCAGTTCGAAGGTGGCAGACAGGATGCCTCTGGGGTGCAGTTTAAGAGACAGACACAACTTAGGAGCCAATGAAAGCTTGTTGTGAATGACAGGCTCTGTCAGCGAGGCAGATCAGATTCTGGTCGGATGGGCAACCAATCAGTGAAACAGATGCACCTGCCCAGCTGCAAATGGAGGAGGAAGCTAGGACAGATGTGTTTGTTAAACAAGGAGCCTGCTGCTCTATTCCAGAACGTCCTTATAGACTAAGAATGCATTCTCCGTCAGAAAGATGCAGTTTGGTTCCTGCGCACACTACCACACTGCAGTTTTCTCTATTTGATCATTTCCCCTTCCACAGTCCTTTATCGGATACAAAGTAACCGGTGTATGTGCACAAGCATATTGAGTGGTTCTTTTTCTTTTTTAAACTAAATGACCAATGCTCCATTTGGGTTGCCGTCAGGTGGTCTGGGGGACAGCGCTGTTTCTGTGAAAATATCCCCCCCCCCCACTTCCATCAGCGGCACAATCACTTAGCTCTGGTTCCAGTAAAAGTTGTTTTGTTCTCGTTGTTTTAACCAAGGACCCAACAACATAAAACTCCTTGCATGCCTCGTTCAGTTGGATCATTTGAATGTTTTTCATTCCTCGTTCATTGTAAAACCAAGGACAATTTTACACTTTTTTTGTATGTAGCTATTACATGTAGAATTTGTCTTTACGTGGGGGTAAAATTACTCTTGAAAAAAAAATATATATATATATAATCTTAGATAGTTTCCTTCTCAAACCAAGCATCTTGTTGTTTAAATAAACTTCTTTTTTAGAATGAAAAAAATAAGAATAAAAGTAATTGACATTTTCTACAAAGCGAGTTCTAGGGTAGCCTAGAACTGTTACACAGAGAAACCCTGTCTCCAGAAAACCAAAATAAATACAATAAATAAATAATTGACATTTTTATAACCTCAACACAGTGAGAAGGCTTTGAGCCAAAGTTCATACAATTTTTAAATGAAGCAGTGATTATTTTTTATGCCAAATCATTGTAGAGAATTTCATATCTCCTCAAGTTTGTCCAGATTCTTTAGTTCCAGACCTAAGGCAATCTCTTGTGGCTTACAAGTATAACTTGATAATCTGCTACTTGGGGGTGAATATATAGACTTAACTCTCCTCAAGTAACCTTATTTTCTATAGGTATAGCTCAGAAACAAGCCACCGTGCTCCCCTGTGACAAGCAAAATCTTGTCAATTATGATGTTATTTTCTAATGCTTGAAGACAGCATTAAACACATTAATAGGGACCAAGACCACCAATGTGATGTCAGGCAAGGAGGCATCAGACTTGGCTCTGTGTTCACTGACTTGGTCAGGATTCCACAGGAGAACATATGCAGCAGCAACCAGTCCTTCGTCCTAATCTTTGCTTTCAGCTGCCACAGAAGACGGGGTAAGCTCATTGGATTTCTCTTCACATCCTCCCCTTCCTGCTAAAGTCCAGTAGACCAGTGGAGAAAGACCTGACTTACTCCTGAACTGCATTACTCAAATACCTTCCCTCCTCCTCAGCCTGACTTCACTTTCCCACACAGTCTCATCAGATTAACCCTTCTAAAGTATAGTCTTGGCTGTTTTACTCCATGCCCCCCATCAAAAGCTCTTAACCGCTTCCGTTCAATCCACTGCCTGCTCAAGAAGGAACCCGGAAGTTCAGAGGTGTGAGTTTCTGGCTGGAAGGGCCACTAACTAGTGAGGCAGCTTTGCCCTCAGGCGGTTACAGTCTCCTAAGAGAGGCAAACATTTCTGATTCACTGTAAGGTAGTTTGCTAATTGTTCTAATTAAGGTTAAGATTAAGTTTAAGGATTTGAGACAAAGGATGGAGTAGTTTCTTTTCTGTTGATGTCCAATGCTTAGAAAGTAGAATCGAGCGTTTGTCGACAACTGTACTTTATAAACTGGCTACATCAGTCTACTCCTATCCTTTTCTGCATTCCAAAAAACCCTCAGTCCCTGCCAAATTAACCTGATTAGCCCTGAAAGCGCTTTGCGGTTTCCACCCCCTTATCTTTCCTAATGCCAACTACTTTGAGTAAATCATTACCCCAGTCCTGCCCAAATGCCTGTCCGCTTACCTCTTGCTTTCCTCTGAAAACCCTCCCGTATGAACCAATGTGCTGATCACCCCCCCTCCTCAGCTGAGTCACGCCCCACTCACAGATTCTTTTCTCAATCTACCATAACCCCCTTGCACTCGGCAACTCATGAAACCACTTAGCATCCTCATTCCCTCCCTCACATCCTCACTGCCAGCATCCACATCACTATGCCTTGTTCTCCCTCTCCCACTCCACCTTTAGTGGCTGAGCAGTTGGAAGAACTCAGTGTCACCCCTCCCCTGTAACTGTGGAATTACCTTGTATGGGGCATGTGGAATTACCTTGTATGGGGCCCAGGAGGAGTCAGCATGATTTGGCTATGACTACCTGAAAAAGTTAAGCAAGCTACTGTGACATTAGTGATCCTTGAAAGAGCTCTATAGAAAACGAAAAGACTTGCTGCAATTTCATTTACAGTTAGTCAGGGATGGAGAAAGCACAATTTGGTCACCTAAGGCTGCTGGGGAGGTGAGTGGGGAATTGTTTAATGGAGAGAGTTTCACCCCAGGAAGATGACAGAGTTCTGGAAACAGTAACAAAGATGACACAATACATGTGCTCAATGCTACTGGACTGGGTACATAAACATGATTAAAGTGGCAAACTGTGTTAAGAGTACTTTATCACAAAAATAGATTGAAATGCATGATTCAAAAATACAAAGAGTTTGATGCAAAGCTAACATGGTGATCTCCATCAACCTGTATCCTTTCTGAGACACCTCACTAGTGGGCTAAACACCTCCTCTCCTGTGATTTCCCAACCCTGAGTATTTGCTCTGCATGTACCTTTGTTCTTTCTCATTCTTGGCTCCAGTTTATTCTAAGCTACTTTGTGACCTGGCTGTGAATGTTGCTTTAAAATCAAGTGTTTAAGCAGTGGGAGCCAAGAGTTGCTGAGCAAATACATTTCACCAAAGTATTGCTTCCTACTCACAGTCCCGCTGTTTGATTTTCCCACCTCTGTGGACTTCATGCCCCATGGACTCAACCTCATGTTCTCTCTGAGTAGAGAGCTTGTTCCTCCTTTGAGAAGGATGGAAACAAGTCTCCATCATCTCTCCTTGTACCACAGAGGCACTATCAGGCAGCTCGGAAGCACAGGTCCTTGGTACCCACAAAGGTACAGCCCTGTAATGCTTCCCCAGGGATCCTGTTGCCGTGACCACTGGATTTATTTACCATATAGTTCCCAAGGCTCTTCATTATTATTCCTTTTCCCCTCTGAATAATGCTTTCTTTTCTTTCTTTCTTTCTTCTTTCTTTTTTTTTTTTTTTCGAGACAGGGTTTCTCTGTGTAGCTTTGTGACTTTCCTGAATCTCGCTTTGTAGACCAGGCTAGCCTCGAACTCACAGAGATCTGCCTGCCTCAGCCTCCCAAGTGCTGGGATTAAAGGCATGTGCCACCACTACCCAGCGAATAATGCTTTCCTTGTTTCCTAGCTCCCCATAATGCATAGACACTGTTATATCTTTCCACTCTTTGAAATAACTTGGACTGTATGTCCCATACTTGTTTAGATATAATCAGAGTCATTGAGCTATTTTAGGAATCATACTATCATCACCAATGAGGGGGCGGGCTTAGTTTCTAAATTAACCACAAAACCTCTTTAAACACAAATGTATCACTTTTTCTTCTGTTTCCCTGAGTTCTAACAAACTTTGTGTATGCTGTTTTGAGATTCCACTGAGTCCCATGGCAGACCCCTTCAGGTGTGTGACAGAGACTTCATATACTACAAATCTGATCACGCCTGCTCACTCTAATGAAAATGTCCACAATGATATCACCTGAGCACCATTCTTTAATCCTATGATTTACATACACGCCCCTGAAGAAATTTCATACATATTCTCAGCAGGATAGTGCATTGTGAAACTCTTAGACTTTGGCTCCATACTATTGATCATGGTTATGAAAATGGAGTGCACTCCACCTGTCCAAATCTCCCTGGACTGAAATCCATTATGATAACTCACTGGGATGCCATCATCCAATTAAAGAAAATGATGGGGTTTCCTCGGAGAAACTTCTCAGAGGTGGAGCAGGATGAATATATATCAACCTAGTGCTTCCTGTGACATCAAAAAGCTTGGTGGGCAAGTGGGGCAAAGGGGGCTGGAGAAATGGCTTAGAGGTTAAGAGTACTGGCTGCTCTTCCAGAGGTCCTCAGTTCAATTCTCAGCAACCACATGGTGGCTCACAACTATCTATAATGAGATCTTCTGATGTGCAGCCAGCCACACATGCAGGCAGAACACTGTATACATAATAAATAAAGAGATCTAAAAAAAATACTTAGTCGGATGGGAGCACACACCCAAGGAGTACAGAAGTCAGCCTGAAAGGGCTTCCAGTGGCCATGTCTGGGTTAATTAGAGCAGTAACAGAAACAATGAACACTGGATTATCACCCAGTATTTAAATAATTACCCATGAGCTCATACTGTTGTAAATAAAGAAAGAAGGTGAATTCCACTTAGTAAATATGTTCTCTTCCAGGAGGGTAAAGGTTAATTCCCCCATATGCTTCCTCCCACTTCATTATGAACTAGGAATCGTGGCCTGTTTCCAAAAAATGTAATTCGTAAAATGAAGCGTAGGGACTTCACAATGAAGAAATCTGGCAAGCAACAGGAGATTCACATCACCACAAAAGCATGCTGGGTGCCTATACTCCCAATAGGCTGTGATAGGAGGTACTGCTATCTAGAACTTTCTAATCACAGGAAAAAATCAAGCATTCCCAAATCAGGGGATTTTTCTACAAAAGACCTACCCAGATCAACGCATAACAACCAAGTTACAGAAACCAGGACAGGTTAACAGATGTGACAGTTCAGCATAATGCCATGTCCCAGTTTGGGTCTTGGTACAGAAAAAGGGCATTGCTAATTAAATTAAATCTAGAGTCTGAAATTTAGTTAATAGTGATGTTTCCGGGGTCAGCTCCCTGGGTTGTTTATTCAGGTTATGTTGTGTTGTTTGCACACTTAAGGGGCTTGAATCCAGAGATCTCTGATGAAAGGAAAGTACTCCACTAGAAGCTGCACTCTTGGCAGCTTCTCAGACTGGCCAGATCCCCACTGGCCTCTGAAGTCACTGTCCTCAGAGAATCGTCATGGGGCAGTATAACTCTGTGGGACAATATGAGAACTCTACTATATTCACCATCTTTCTGTGAGTCTAAAGTAATTCAAAATTTAAAAAACTGATTTTTAAGAAAATGTTTCATACCATCTCTAATTAACATTAGAAGTAAAAGATGGCTTTACTCCAAGAAGAGGTAATTTTCTACCCTGGCATTTACAGACCAAAACCAGACTCATGCCCACACGAATATGGGGCTCCATGTTCTCCAGGGTTGAGGTAGTATAGCTTGGTGGTAGAGCTTATGACCAACATGCACAATTCCTAGGACCCACATGGCAGCTCACAACTGACTGTAACTCTAAT